ATTATTTACCATTCGTGGAACTCTTTAGAATGAATACCAAAGCAGTCCCCAGAAATTTACAATTTTTCAAGCGGTCCACCCACTTTGAATTTGGAGATTCACTCTGGAGATTCCACACCACAGTCTGGAGAACCCTCAGAACCTGAATCAAAGTCTCAGGATCGTTGCAGAGTAGTAGATTCAATAATGAATCGACAAGCTCTGATTTTTCTACTAGTCTAGGCAGAACGTCAGACTGGCAGCACAAGTTGCCGATGATTCCTACTACTATCTCCTAGAGAAACGGAATATAAATAGTTCAGAATAGAACAAAACAATATTTCGATCGATGATTGAGGTAATTCGTGAAAGAAATCGTGAAAGACAAAAAAATTTTCTGCGATTTTTCTTTGAATTTCCTTGAAGATCAGAGCAAAATACAAAAAATCTGAGAAATGAATATTCATATTATTTGAATTGATTTTAAAATGAACTCGAATTCTTTCATTTAATAAAATGAGTAGCACATAATACCGTCAGTCTATCTTCTGTGGATACGTTTAACACGTGTTCTCCAATGGATAAGAACTGATTTTCAAGAATAAATAACACGACGTCTTTCTCCGCAGTCATGTCCCATAAATAACATAAAGCTTCTTCTAATTCGTCTGACCATTTCACCTCTTCTGGAAGCTGAGAAAAAAAAAATACTTGCACTTATTCAGTCATTCGCCGAATTGCAATTACATATTTATTTCTAATTCCAATGAATTCCAATTCATTCCTCCGATCCTAATAAATTCAGTCCACAAAAGGAAAAGAATCTTTCAATATAATTCTAGTAGCATTCCAGTAGAATTCGCGTAGAAATCTAGGAAAAATTTTATCGAAATCTCGATAAAATTCGGTTTCAATATTTTAAAAATACACGTTGTACCCCTCGTTCCAACCTTTGATAAGGAAATAAGTGTTTTTAAAATCCAACTCGCACTGTACGAAGTATCCCCAATAGTATCACCCATCATTGTCTTTTTTTCCTCCTCACTGACATCCCCTGGTTCGATAATAAACGCTGACAACTTTCTGTCATCACTTTGTTCCTCTTGATTCTCCATTGCTGAAAATGAATTAACAAATAAACAAAGCAGCAGAATAAAATAAATCAATACTCGGTGAAGGTTATGAGCCCAACTGTTTTGTTTT